GCAGGAACTGAGCTCAGACCTTCAGACCTTGAGAGGTTTTTAAATTTCTATCACCTCGGTGAGCGGGCAGTCAGCACACAGGCTGTGCTCGCTCCGACCCCAGGGGAGCAGCAGGCTGGTGCACGGACGTTGCTCTGCACCCCGGACACCAGGGACCCTCAGCGCCAGCTCTGCTGGGAGAAACGAGACCTCTCCTGCCGGACGGGAGCAGAGACGGGCTTTCGTCGGGCACTGGAAATGGTTTTTAACTAGTTGGCTGCTTCCCAGTTCCCACTGCACTCCTCCCATGGGAGACAAAACCAGGGACACTCTCCCAGCCTCACCAAGAGGGGACACTCAGGGACAGGGCCTGTCTGAACGGCAGGAGCGGGTCCCAGGGGGTGGCAGCGATGCTTTAACTCAAGCACACGGCGGTGCTACCATGCGGGCCAGGCTCGCGCCTCCGGCAGAGCCACCTGCTAAAAATTCCTGCCAGGGCAAAGCCAGGAGCAGGCAGAGCCATCGCCCTCACGCACACGGCGTTCGCCGCACACGCACACTGCTTGGCTCCAAATGGGGAAAAACTACAACCGATTAAAGCAGACGGACATGCAACTTCAGAGCAGACATTTAAAAAGTATCTTCAAGTTTGCTTGTCTTTCCTCTTTGCTCTCCTGCTTTGAAAAATAAATGGGATTTGGCGAGATGGCCAAAAGTGTCTTTAATGAGGGTTTGGGGCTGATGTGGGAAGTACGCTGCCTTGGGCCTCCTGAAAGCAAACCTGACACCCCCCTTTACACAAAGAGCAATGTTTTTCACCTACCTGCAAGCCCCTGAGGGGAGCCGACCGGTGTAGAGGGGTTTGACGAGAAGTTATTGCTAGAGTGATCGGGGGAATAAATCTGGAGCGAGAGAAGCAGGGCACGGTCAGCAGCGCCCACCCCGCGACGGCCCTCCCCCTCCCCAGCAGCACCACCGAGCCCCGGTGCAGCGAGGACCACCCGACGGGACCACCCGATGGCACCTCCCTTCCCATACCATACCCACACCGGCGCCCAGCCGCGCGACGGCCCAGCCCGCTAGTGCCCCCGCAGCTCCCCCATTAACGCCGGGGTCTCTCTCTGGCCCCGCTGCCGCCACCCCTGCAGCTACAGCCTCCACTCGCCACGTCCCACCTCGGAGGGAAGCGAGAGCCCCAAGAAATTGTTGCAGGGTGCAGCGCTGGCACCCCTCTGCCACCATGCAGAAGCCAAGGTCCCTGCACTGAATGGGACAGATGCAACTCTGATAGCCCAGTGGGACCAGCGCCTTCCAGTTTGAACCAGCACATGCAGGGCCAGGACTACTGGGACCTGCAAGTCCTGCTACGAGGGCTGCGTAGGGTTGTCTTGCCAGACCCATACCAGGCTGGGCGGCCACAGAGCCGGCTCATGGGCATGGGTCTGCGGGGCTACCATAATGTCCGGTGCCTCAGTTTCCCCATCTGCTTTTGCCCAGGACCAGGACTCAGGATGGCAGCACGCAGAAGAGGGAAAACCCTCCCCTCAGAGGCTGCCGTGTTTTTGGGGTGCGTTCACCCAAACTTCTCAACGTGTCCATTTTCCCTGCTGCCTAGAGGGTCCCTGTTACAGAGGGGAGGTCCAACGCTCCAACAGGACAGGGACCGGGTCAGGGATCTGCAGAAACTCTTACTGAAGCTAGTGCCTTCCCGAGCGCGTCTCCTGAGCTCCCAGCTGTGGTTCCTCTGTTACCTGCCGAGAGAGGACAGAGACATCACTGCCAGGGTGCCAGAAACCCAGCAGGACAAGGCACCCGCACAAGACCTTCTCTGGGGTCACCTGCTCTGAGACTGAAATTTCTCGCTCTTACTGCTTTGCTTGAAGACCAAATGGATGCCCAGCTCAGAGCAGCCCGGATGAGGGCACACGCGTCCCGGCAGCTTTTGTGGGGCTGCAGGAACGTCTTTTATAAGATGCTGGGTCGAAGGTGTCATGCCATCAACCGTGATCAAGTGTCTCTGCTGCGGCACGGCCCATTTTCATGGGGCATCTTAAGCCCCTACAATCCTGAACTTGCCTCCCCTCCTATAAACAAGGGTTTTTCTACGAACCAAGGTCAGGATCCGCATTTCCTGGGGAACACGAGTTCATTTCAGGTTTTGTAACAGGTTCAGCATCGGAGGTTTAACGTGGTATCCAAATGCAGCACAAACATTCCCATTCCGGATTTAGATGAACAGCTTCACACATACCCCCGCCCTCCCGCAACTCATTTAAGCCACACAGATCCTGGTCTCCTCCCGGATCCACCAAGCGAGGTGTAAACCCCCAGGCCAGCACCCTGTCCCCCTGCTACAGCCCGCCCAGGGATCCAGCAGCAATAACCTCGCTGCGCCTCTTCCTCACGCAGTAACTCCACACACGGGTGACACACGAGAGATAAGAAGTGTCTGTGTACATCGGACACAGATATCACAGCCTCGGGCATCAGCGGTTTGCACAAGACTTTGATTTTCCAGTTAAGCCTCTGCGTGGCCGTGGAGCAAGGGGGCGATGCTGGGGACCACCACGCAGCCGGGGGCCGTACGTACCCATCATGCTGTCCGTCCCGCTGATTGGGGGCGTATGACTGGAGACACCATATGGCGTGGAGGCAGAGGAAAAGCCAGACACAGAGGGGAGTCCGCCGTTAACCTCTCCTGAATGAAGCTGGTAGTTCTGGCAGAGAGGGGGAGAGGGGTGAGAGGCACCCTCGAAAGGTTGCCGGGCTTCGGCGGCCAGGCCAGGACCTACGTCCTCCCTGTTGGCAGCCACCCCGAGCCGACAGCTACGGGACGAGGTGACGTGCCGCCACCGGCCAGCCGAGCAGAGCCCCCCAGCCCGCCCGCGGGGCAGCGCGGGGACGCGTTACCATGCGTTCGTGCTGATGTAAACTGTTGAAGCCGCTGGACTGCGGGAGCGGGGAGGAGGAGCTGCCCAGCATGGCACCGTAACTCGACTGGCTCATGGCACCCGGTGAACTCCACAGGTCTGGCGAGTTATGGAGACCGTCTGGAAGGAAAAACGGAGCTGGGTGGGGCAGAGACACCAGCATGCGACCCACAGCCCACGCAGGGGCAAGTCAGTCTGGACTGAGGGGCTGCATCTGTCCCTATCACGTCCTGCCTATGCCGAGCATCACTCGCTGAACAAATTGGAGCCATTTCAGGGCTGCTTTGTTGTCTCATACACTCCTGCCCCGAGCTCCCTCCATCTCACGTGCTGCGCAATTCCTCCCATCATCTGTAACGGGCCAGGCAGCCCCTGCTCTGGCTGCCTTGCAGGATGCTGGGGTTGTTAATAACTCACCTGCCATATAAAAGGCTCCGGGATACACAGTGCTGGGAGGTTTTGAGGGAGTATATCCAGCTGGATCCCTGCTGTAGTCGTCACCTGAGTTGGATGGATACACCTGTGGGGCAGGAAAGGGGTTGGAGAGGAGTGCTTGGCCACCCCATGGCCCCACATCCTCCCCATGGGTCACCCCACCCCGCGCAGCTTCGCTTTTATTCATCGCAGCAAATGACAGAGTGGGTCCCAGAGCAAAGCCGGGGTGGAGAAAACCAAGCAGCTCAGCTGAAGCCGTGGCGGCGGTACCGAACGGCGCAGCTCTGCTGGGGACCGGCGCAGGGGACGGGGCCGTCGCGCAGACGCGTCCTGGCTGCCTTCCCGTAACTACGCCGATCCCCGCAGCCCCCTCCTGCAGAAGACACCAGCACCAGCAGAAGTTTCAACTCTCTGCTCTAGTTCCTTTTTCTGCGGTTATAACTTTTTCTGGGTAACCACAAAAGCCATCGTTTCTGCGTGCTAACCCCTCACCCACGGGCGTGGGGCTGGGCGCTGGCGACGGGGACCCTGCTGCACGCCGGGCTGCAGCACCGTGATGGCAGCAGCCGCTCCTGAGCGCAGCCTCTGCCCAAACCCTTCACGGAAATCAGCCCGTCCCGCTCGAGGGGAAACTGAGGCACGGGGGAAGCTGAAGGCTAAGCAGTCCTTCAAAAGGGATGTCGCACAGGAGGGGATGGCTCTCCGACAGCTTTCGGCCAGATTTCTGCAGCATCGCTCAGCTCTGTTATTCAACAGCATATTAAGCAAAAGAAAAAGCTTTTTTTCTTTTCCTTCTAAATTAACCAAACCCATCCTAGAAAGCCCTTACCGAAAATCATCCTGTGCCAGTGCAAAAACATACTTTTTTTTTTTTTTAAAGCAGAAATTCAACACGCAAAGAAACTGAAATGCCACTCGAAATTACATGAGAACTTTTGTTGCAGCTTATTTTCATCCCCATTGATTCATTTTGAAACCGTCAATGATTTTTTTTTTAAATACACACGAAAGCAGAGGCGGGGGCAGGGGCTGGCCAGGCACGCTCAGCCAGCTCTGCCTGGAAGACACAGCTCTCTTTGGAAAGGAAACCTGCCCTGAGTTTCTCTTTCCCCACACCCAGCCAGCTCCCTCCGACCCCTTGTCCTCACCCAGCAAGAAGGGGCAAAATTGTTCTCTATTTCTCTAACTGCCCAGAACACCGAGAATTTCTTCTTTTTTTGGGGGGGTAATAGAAAATAGAGGTCTTTTTGTTAAAAAATAGCAGCTCTGAAAAGCACCAGCAATTGCACTTCAATGTCTTGCTTCGTTTTCCCCTGGCAGCCCAGGTTCCCGCTTCTTAGAGCAGCTTCCCTCGAAGCTGGGGGAGTTCGGAGCCCCGGGGGCAGCCCCGGCCCCTCGCTGCCCATCGGCTCTTGCGTAGCAGTCGGCCGGACCCTGCGGGGCAACCGGGAGCCAAAAGCAACTTGTGGGCATCGGTGCTGTAGATTGAGACTGGGAAAGTTGTAAAATAAAAAAAAAAAAAAAAGAAATAAAAATAAAATAGAGGGGGGGAAGGGAAAAACCTGACAGACGCTGGCAGCTGCCCTTTGTCCCTCGCTCAAAAAAAGAAAATTCACGGCGCTTTGCCTTTGTGTGGCATCGCAGGACAGCGTCGAGGCGAAGCGGGCGAGCGGAGCCGCGCGTGGGCAGCGCGTGCGGCTGGGGAGAGCGGGGGAATGGAGGAGGCTGCAAAGAACAAGAATCCAGTAAATTGACTTTTCCTATAATTTGATTAAATAGCGGGAGCTGGGACAGGGAATCGAATGAAGCACGTCTAATAGCCCCGCGCCATCTGCCAGGGGCTGGCACCTGGCCAGCGCGCGAGGCAGCTGTGCGGCAGCGGAGCGGGCGCGGGGGGGCCGCGGTGAGCTGCAACATCCATTTAATAAATCCAGAGCGAAAAGAAGAAGAATAAAATAGCAGGGATGAGCGGACCGGGGTTGCAAAGAAGGGGGAGTTCGCCTTGCTGCGTATCCGCCCCGTTCTGCCATCCCCAACCCCCCCATCTCCGGCTGGATCCTGGGGGGCCAGGTTTCACCCCAGGAGTGGCCCTGGCCCCTCCAAATCTTTCGTTTCGCTGCTCAGCGCAGGGGGGGCTGTGAAAAGCCAACCCCACTCTTCCCCGCACCGGCCAAGCGAGGAGCATCCCAGCCCCACGGCGTGCGGGGGAGCCGGCCGAGCCGGCGGCCGGCGGCCGCCGGCCAAGCACCGCAGGAAACGGTAAATCAGGGCCAGGTCTCTGCTCCCCACCCCGCGGCCCCAGCCCTCGCCTCGGCAGCTCCGGCGGCGGCCTCGGGGACCTCCAGGTGAGGTCATTTCCTCTGGTTAAAATTGCCAGCGCGGCGAGAGAGCCGCTTGAAAAGCCCCAGCGCTGGGATTCGCAGGGCTTTGTGGTGTTGGGGTTTTTTCCCCTCCTCCCTCCCTGTTTTTCTTCCTTAAATGCACGAACTGGGGTGGGACTCAGGCAGACTAAAGCTAAACAGAGCGGTGACCAGGCTGCGAATTCACAGGCTGAAACGGCTCCCAGCCACCACACTCTCTGCGGCAACAAAATCCTGCAGGAACCGACTTGCAAGGAATCCCTCCTCGCCTTCCTCCGGCAAAGCCGGCCGACGTGCAGCAGGGGCTCAGGGGCCTCATCCAGCCCCGGGTCCTGTGTCTGGACATGCCAGCCCGCAGGGGAGCACGGCCGCGAGCACTAACTCTGCTTTCCAGCTCCACATCACAGGGAGGCTCAATGGGGCTCCATGCCCCGCGCCGTCCCAGGCCAGCACCTATTTCACAAGAACTAACCCCAAAAGGCCACAGGTTACAAGCACGGGTACCTCTGCGCCCGTCCGTAGTCAGAGCCGCTCGCTCCCTGCCCTGCATCGTCTTTCGCACCCCTCTTCAACCATCTCACGTCGCCAGGGCCTCTCGGTGCCTTTGGCAGAATCACTCCCCTTTCAGCCACCCTCAACTATTCCAGCCGCTGACCTCTCCGAGTGTTCAAAGCAGCTAGGGAATTACAGATTAAAGCACTTTATTTTAATAAGATGCTGATTAACCTATTTATTTTGCATGGGGTCCAGCGATAACACGGGGCGGGCTCCTGCGCAGGCAAGCCAGACACGAAAGACCCTTTGATCCGCTGCCTTTGAGGCCGGCGACTCCTTTTGCTCCACGCTTCTCTCGCCGCCTCGGTGCCAACTTCTCTCCCCAGGTGTGGAAGTTCAAAAACAAACCAAGAAGCCGGAGGTCACGGCAAAGAGAGGGCAGCGGGAAGAGGCAGCACCGGCCCGTACAGCAAAACCTGGAGCTTTGCGGTCAAGGGGCAGCCGAGGCGAGAGCCAGCGCTTTCTGGGCTGGAAAAGCCTGCGTGCCGGTGTCGGCTCAGACACAGGGAAGGGGCTGAGATTTGGCAAATGCCGAGCGGCTCTTCCTGTGGGAATCGGGGCCCTTTAGGGCACCACCAGCACTACGGGCAGCAAGCCCCGTCACCTTTGAAATCCGAGGCCAATAAAGGGCCATTTGTCAGGAGCGATGTTTTCCCCACATGTCGACGGGGGTTTAAAAGCTCTGAATTTCACACAGAAACTCAACGCAGCGACACAGATTCTGCTTCGAGCAGGTTTTCCCTGTTAAAACACAGACTCTTGGAGCAACTCAGCACTGCTGACTGGAGGTGGTTTCTGCATGATGCGGGTCCGCAGGGACCCTCCAGCACCCTCCAGTCTGCGAGCCCAATCTGGCAAGCGCTCGGTGCCTTCCTCTCCCTCCACCCTCCCAACATCGGCATCTCGGGGGCCATTTCCAAAGGGAGAGCCAGTGGCGGAGGCTACAGACCAAGCTTTGCGCTAGCAGTGAAGGAACGCCACAGCACGAGATTTCCCCCGCGGGTGGACGCACACAGATGTTCCCCGGGGAATGGGGGAGCGGGCACCCGCTCCACGTCACATCAGCATCAGCTTTGGCAGCGAGCGGCACGACACGCTCAGGCAAGAGCACGTCTCCAGCGCAGCCCCGGCCTGGGCTCCCGCTCGCCTGCAGGACAGAGCCCGCCCGTCCCCCTGCAAGCACTCAAACGCTCCAGCGAGGAATGCAGCCCCGGCCGCCGTGCAGCCAGACAGCTCCCATATTCCTGCAGGAACCCTCCAGCCCGCTCCAATTAGCTTTCCTGGAGATCCTATTACTTCTAGCCACAAAGACATTGTTCAGTTTATTCCCCTGTAACAGCCGCGGGAGCATGGCTAACATATTCCTACAGGCTGCTCGGCTTTCTTATAAAACAGCCCAGGCAGCGCACACACCTGGAGCAGCCCCAGCTGCCTGCCTGCATTACAACTGGTTTGGTTTCCCTCTGGAGTGAAATCCGATCACAGCGAATATTACATTTCACTTGGGCACTCGCGACATAACGTCAAACAGACGAGAGCCAGCGAGGGCAGGAGGCGATGGGTCCGGGCTCTGGCTGGGGAGGTGGCACCGCCGGCTGCTCCGCACGGGGAGCGTTGCAGCTCCTTCTCTCCGATCAGTGCCCCGGCACTGCAGTCTCACAGCGTTTCCCCATTTCTCCTACTGTAGCTGGGAAAACCCTTCCTCCTCCTGCTAAAATCCAAGCCCTCGATGTTTGGGGTGGCTGGACGCATAGGGCCGGCAGCTCTCGCGGCAGAGCGAGCAGGGACACCCAGGGGATGGAGGAACGGGGAAGGGATACCTGCGGGGAAAACGCTCCTGCCACTTACCGAGGAGGGGAGTCCAGGAGGCACCTTCCGAACCTTTTTGGGCTGTCCATCTGGTTTAAAGACAAGAAAAGAAGAGAGGATCTAACTTTTGAAGGGGGTTAGCGGGAGGGAAAGCGAGCGGCTATAGCTAACAGTCTCCCAGGATGGAAGATGCAGGTACAAACAGGGCTCAGATCCCAAATGCCCCATAGCCAAAGAAGTGTCAATAGTGACAACGTCTGAGGATGAACCTCTCCTCCTCGTCTCGACTGCACCCTTTGAGGGCGGGTTTCACCCACAAACGGAGTTCACAGGGCCGTCTCTCTCCTGGAACACTGTGATAAGAGGTGCTCACCACCAGAGAGGGGCTGCGCTTGCTCTTTGTAAGGGACTGAGCCCATAAATAACCCCTCGTTGTTTTTTTATGAAACAATTAAACTTGAAGTGGGTTTGCAGAGAGAGGATGCAGGAAGAGAACAAATGCAGGGATGGGGTTGTATTTTCATTTGCTCCTTATGCAGTGATATACTTGGGAAAGCTTCCCTGCAGGAAGGCAGGGCCAGTGCTTGCCCCAGCCGGTCCCTCCCCAGCCCATCTCATCTCTCCAGGTCCAGCTCCGAGGGGGGAGGACACAGTGTCGTGGGGGAAGGGAGGCAATTCAGGGAGGTGGTGGGGGAAACATCCCGAGAAGTGGCTCAAGGGGAAGCACTGCTTAAAAATTTGGGTTTGTGTGGGTTTTTTTTTTTTTATTTTGGTTCATAATTAAGGAAAGCCCCAGCTGGGGGGGTGCAGGATGCCACCACCGCAAGTCTGCCAAGCCAGGGACTCTGCCGGGTTGTAGCTCAGGAGGAGAAATTCATCACGTAGAACGACCTGATGCAAAAGAATCATTTTCCAGGCTGACAACATAAACCAGCAACGTTTTGAAGTGGCAATATCAAAGTGGATGCCTTTTTCTGAAAAGCACTGGAAAAAATACATGTAACACTGGGTCGCTTCTGGTTTCGTTTGTTGGGGAAAGCCCAAAATAGCAGCAAGAAAATGACTTTGGAGGGTGCGGGGCGGAACTATGACAAGAAACACAAGTTCTGGAGAACTGGGGCTTGTCTTCAATCAAAAGTTAAGTTCACACCCGACCTTAGCCTTCGTTAAAAGCAAAATGGCTTATTCCCAGGTAGATCCAAGCATGGGCAACTCCTGCCCTGGAACATCGAAGGAGGCAGGGAGAGGTCTCGGAGCAAACACTGCCTGCGTCCCAGGACACAGCTCCTGCGCCCCGGCAGAGCGCCCGGACCTCACGCCGCTTCTTAATGACTTGTTCCTGGCAGTCCTGTTTGCTTGCAGCAGGACAGGGACTCTAAGGAGGGCCATCGTCCCTGAAAACAGCCTCGAAGGTGGCCCAAGGTTTTCCAGGAGTGACTATTGACGTGCGGTGTGGCTGGAGGCATTTTTAGAAGAACCTCAAGCCATTTACTGCTTTCACCTAATCCGACAATTTCCAGAAAGAAGGAAATTCTACATGACTCTGAGCCCAACCCCCCTTTTTTAAAAATTATATATATATTTATATATATATATATAAGAAAAGTAAATATATATAGTTTTTTGCCCCCCTAAAAAACCAAATGCCAAATTCATGCCTATGTCCACACATGGCAACATCAGTGCTTTTATTCCCGAAGGCGCCCACCCAGTTGACAGCCCCTGCGGTCGCTCAACCAAGCTGCAGGACGAACCGGAGCGGTGGCACCCGAGGGCGACATGAAGCGACTTACCTATGTTGCTCTCAGCACCTCTCCTGCGAGGATTGTTGGGGTAAGAAAAATACTGAGACCCCCCTTTCACCCCGGTAGGGGAAAGTGTGCTCGGACTCGCGATTCCCATTTCGCTGGGCAGGAAACCAGTCTGCAAACAAGGAGACAGAAAAGCCCTGCCATGTAATTATGCTGGAAAACCACCGCGCTCGCTGGGAGGGAACAGAGATGCCTCGAGCTGCATTCGCACAAAGTCAGTGGAGGATGGGAAAAAAAAAAAAAAGCCCAAAGGCCAGAAGGAAAAAACAAATATGGGGGCAGCTATGGAGGAATATACGTGCAAGAAGAAAAGGGTCTTTCAAGCTGTGTTTTCTCACTGGATCCCAGCAAGGAAGCTCTCTACAAACCAAGGACGCGAACCAGCAGGTGCCATCGCAGGGAGCACCGCAGTCCCATGCCCATTTTGCTGCCCACGAGGGCAGGATGAGACCCTGCCGATGGTTTTATCGGCCCAGCCTGCTGAAGGCAAAGAGGAGGCGACAGTCAGGCCGAGGGGCTTGTTAGGCAGCGCTCCCCGCCTGCCTCGCCAGCCTGCCCGCAAAGCCGAGGGGTCGCGAGCATCTCCTGGGGGCAGCGAGCTCAGCCCACACAGGGGCTTGCTCGGGACAAAACTCTTCCCTCACCATCTCCGAGGTTTTACAGCAAGGGATTACAGTTTCTGATGTGATCGGTGCTTTGGTGGCTGCGAGGGACACACCTGATGGGCACAGCGTGTCCACCCATCCTCAAAACGCACATCCGACCAAACGGCCCCACGCTGCCTCTCACCCCCGCGATGCCGTCGGGGACCCGGCCTGGGCAGGGGACAGATACAGCGCTCACCCACCAGCAAACCCGGGAGCCCCCAGGCTGTCACATCTCTCGACTGTGCCTAAACCGACCGCGAGAGGTTACACAGCCGGTGGCCCATCTGACCGTGCCTCTCCCAGTCCCCCCCGGCCATAAAACCTGGCCCAGGGTGCCGGCACTGCCGGTTTCTCCCCTATCCCCAACGCTGTGCAGTCGGACCCATCGTGGACGATGCAATGGAGCTGCAACTCCTCTGCTGGGGGTGGTTTTCTCTCGCATTTTATCAGGGAAAAGTCAAATCCCTCTTTCTAAAAAGAGGAAACTCCTCCCTCGTGTTTATCCCAGCTGACCTTGGGCACTCTGGGAAGCAGCGTGGAGCCGGCAGGAGCCGGAGCCCAGGGTGCTCGCTGGCTCCCGGGATGGAGCAAGCGTGCCTTTGGTCCAGGAGCACACCCGCTGGCATTGCCCCTTTCACCTTGGGAGAAAGTTAAATGTATTTACGTGGAATTTAAGAGGCCTGGCGAAGGGCCTTTAAGTAACAAAAGCTTAGCTTTGACCCATCTTCCGAGGGCAACATGTTGAAATAAAGGAGGATTTCAGGCTTTTGAGAAACTGGAAAGAAAAACCCACTGCTTTAAAACACCGTCTCCTCCAGAAAGGGGTCGGGGAGGGA